GCGGTTGGAACCTCTCAGGCTGTGGTGGGCTGGCTGCGGCTGTCATATGGGCCAGTGGCAACTGGGACAGGAAGCAGGGACTTTCCTGTGGAGGCTTTTGGGGGCGAGGTCTCTGTTCTCAGAGGCAAGAAAGTGAAACCTTCTAGTGCTGCTGGCATCAGTGGGACGATGTCCGTTTCCCCAGAGATGGGCCCAGCAAACAGGCAAAGCGGCCAGATTTGGATTCTCGCCCTGTGTCTCAACTTCCTTTCGTGGCTGAGTTGTCCTAGCTGGGAGGACTGAGATCTGAAGAGTCTATACAGGTTGTCGTTTCCCCAGAATTCCCTAAGGATGGGCAGTGCAGATCTGCTGGCCCCAATCAGTGGGGACCCTGAGGGCAGGGACTGTGTCCTACATGCACTCTGCAGTTTTGACTCAATCTCATTACACACAGCCATGGTACTCCTCTTCACACACATCCCTCCCCCTTGGGCTAACCTATGAAAACAGAGTAAAAAATTTCAGTTCCAGTTACCCTGGTGACAAAGTTCCAAACTGCAGTTTCTAAGAGCAAAAAAATTTTTTTTCTTCCCATCACTTTTATTTTTCTAACATTTTCACAAAAAATTATTTCTGACAAATCAATAGCTAAATACTATTTAAGAGAAATGCTTGTGCTAACTTTTCAACCAGTTTTCCTCTGTCTCCGTTTCCCCTGTTACCAGAAGAGATGTTTGCCAACCAGCATCTGTCGTCCCATCTGGCCTGCTCTGCAGATTCCTTTGTGTTGTCGCAACCTCTGGTGATTACACTTCCTTGGGCCACTCTGTGGTTCCTGATCCAAATTCCAACATGCAGAGGAGGAGGATTCTCCTCATGCCACCAAGCCATGCTCAGGGCCAGCTGGGTGGCCAAGAATTCAACTCATTTCCGACCCTCTCCACTGGCTGGCTCAGGGCTCCGGCCTCCAAGACTGCCCCTCCCCCACTCAGATGCTGATGGCAAGTCCGGGTTGTCACCTGTGCTGTTGACTGATCCGCTATGGATGGGGGTTTGTACTGCACCCTAAATCGGCTCGTAGAGCTCAGAGAAACATCTTATGCACTAGATGCTTGGCTGCTGACAAAAGGATGTGAGCCAGGAAGGCCGGATGGAAGAATCACGTAGGGCAAGGCCTGGGGAGAATATCTCGGAGCTGCCGTGCCCTCTCCAGAGGCGCTTCTTTCCCCAAATCTCCACGTGTTCGCCAGCCGGGAAGCTGCCTGAATCCCATCCTTTGGGTTTGTGTGGAGGCGTTATTACATAGGCACCGCTGATTAAGTCATTGTCCACTGGGGATGGATTCCATCTCTCGCCCTTCTCCTATCCCCAGAGGTCATGCAGGTTCCAACCCCCTAGTCACATGCTAGGCTCTCCTGGCATGTAGCCTCCATCACCGGTGCAGTCCAAAAGCCACCTCATTAGCATCACAACAGGCATCTTGACCGCCCTCATCCTTTAGGAAATTCTAAGGGCTTTTGGAGCTCTGTGCCAAAAAGGGGATGGATACTAAATACATGTTTCTTAATCATAAATCACATGGTCACAGCCACTTCACCTAGAAATAAAAAATAGTCCTAAAAGCTGAGCCTCAACTATCCTGCTCCCAAGGTCACCACCTGCACTCCACGGCCCTTGATTGTGCAAAATGCATTCCCTCGTGTGCTAACCTTCAGCGTAACGTTCCTCAAGATGTGCTAGAAAGTGCTTGCATCAGAATCTTAGGAAAACTTACAAAGGTTTAGAATTCTTGGTTTTACCACATGGTAGTGGAGCACTGTCATTGGCGTTTCAGACTGTTCTCATTCATCTTGGCTGGTGTGGCTCAGTGGGCTGAGCATTGTCCCATGTACCGAAAGGTCACCAGTTTGCTCCCTGGTCAGGGCACATGCCTGGGCTTCCGCCTCCATCCCCAGTAGGGGACATGCAGGAGGCAGCCCATCAATGTTTCTCTCCATCAAAGTTTCTCTCTCCCCCTTCCTCTCTCTCTCTAAAATGAATAAAAACGTGTTTTTAAAAAAGAACAAAGAACTAAAATAAGTCTAATTCATAGGACTGTTTGGGAGCCATGGGAGCTACAAAGCCATGCAGAAGAAAATTCCCTTTCAGGTGACCAGTTCTAGAAAGACCTCAACCCCTCACACTCACTACTCAGTGTCCAGAGTCAGAGAACCTCAGAAATTATCTTTGCATTATCCCGAGCCAGCTGTCTATTAAAAGAATAGTTGGCCTTACCTGGTTTGGTTCAGTGGATAGAGCGTCGGCCTGCGGACTGAATGGTCCCAAGTTCGATTCCGGTCAAGGACACATGCCTGGGTTGCAGTCTCCATACCCAGTAGGGGGCGTGCAGGAGGCAGCCGATCAATGGTCCTCTCTCATCATTGATGTTTCTATCTCTCTCTCCCTTCATCTCTGAAATTAATAAAAATATATTTAAAAAAAGAATAGTTGGACACAGCCCAGCCAGGTAAAATTCTTCGAATGTTGCCCGTGCCACAGGTGCACCTCACTCCACACATGTGTGCAATGCCCTGCTGTGAACACCAAGTTCTCTCAGCCTTCAGGTTCTGTGGACTATTCTTGCAGGAGTGCAGGCCTGTACAGTGGAGTCTTGCAACTGCTTGCTAGGCCTTGCAACTCAGCCCATTGGCTCTAGCATCCTGGACAGCATTGTATGGGCTACAAAGGCACTACTTATAATCCGACTGCGTTTTCTCCTCAAACACTATTTACCCTGAAGTACCCAGGGATGAGGATCAGTTGCTCTAAAAATGATCATGCAGACCCTCTCCACCAGACTGTGAACAATTCTTTTCTTCAGGCCTTGAAGTAAGAAGAGACTTTGTTCAGGGGGTAACCAAGCTTTCATTTTCACTTCGTGACCACAGCGTTGCACTTAGATCCTTATTTTAGGCACACAAACCTGTTACTGAGAATGTGGCTTTTCATGTGCATTAACGCCTTTAATTCTCACACCAACCCTGACACATAGATAACACTGGGGGCACAGAGAGGTACAGGAAGCAAATGTTGATGCTGGAAAGCGCAGCCAAGCGCTCTGGCTCCGCGGCCTGCACTCCTCTGTGATTAGCTATAGGCATTAGATTAGTGATAAAGGCCTGCTTATCTTTATTTGTTCATTAATTGATTCAGGAGAATGGACTCGTGTCAGGTCCTAAGCTACGTGCTTGGGGCACAAAGGTGAGTGTTACTGACCACCCTGCCCTTGATATTCCCAGTCTAATAATGAACAATTAAAGGGGCAATTAAAATAATTAGTGTTAAGTGCCAGGGAGGAAGTGAGGGGTGAGGCTGTGGAGGCACAGATTGGGGGGGGGGGGGGCGGTATAGACAGCCATGGGAAGATAAATCATGGAGTTGGCATCTGAATCGAGTCCCCAGGGTGAGGTGAGGGTCAGTTAGAGGAATCGGGGGATCTGGCTGAGGAAGCAACATGCACAAAGACCCAGAGCAGGAAAGGGAGGGAAGTTTACTATGAAGAGAGTTTATGTGAGTGTGTTTAGGGAGATGGCAAGAGATGAGGCTAAAGGGGTGGGCAGGAACCTAACCTAAATGGCCTCTCTGTTGTGAGAAAAGCTTAGGCTTTACCCTGAAAGTATTATCAAGCCATTGAAGTATTTTGAGTAGAGGTTTTCTTTATAGCAAGAAGATACTGGTGGCCACGGGAGGGATGGTCTTGCCTGCAACTGTTACCAAACTCAAGGGGTTCCCCATTTGATGTGTTCTACTCAAAAGCCAGACGTGGTTGTCACAGGGTAGTTTATTTACTTGCAGCAAGTAAAGGAAATAGTAGATTCACATCCAGTGAATGAATTCAGACAATATATCCCACGAAGCTTCAGAAGGAAATGAACTGTTTTCATCCATGTAAACATGGTCTTGTGGTATTTACCAATCTTCTCCATCAAATGATATACGTAAAGCATTTTACCTTCAACTAGCTTTATAGTAACTTTCATTCTTGTTCTGCAGGTTTAAATCTGGCTTCCTAGAACAATGTTTAAGAGTTGGAATATGGATAGTTATTTAAAAACCTGTTGTTGTTTTTTAATTTTGGGGCTCATGTAACAAGTGGTAAAGCTGTTGGAGGCAGAATTTGAGATGTGGTCCAGTGGTGTGAAGTTCAACACTGGGGGCTGATGTATCAGGGGCCACTCCCAGATCTGTGGGCAGCTGTCTGCCGCACCCTTGGGATCACACCTTTCACAGTGGCCATCTCACCTTCTTTACTTTTAAGGGCGAGGGCTCTTCGAAATGTGCCTAGCTCTAAAATTCTAAGACTTACACTCAACTTTGTGTTAATCATTTCTTAAACATTAGGGTTTAACAAACTATAAAGGAGCTTGATGACTGGGTCAAGGTGTAGAGGTGGTGCCATGGCCAGACCCCTCTCGGTCTCCCCACACCCCTTCCCTGGGGCTGGCTCTCCAGCTAAGCGTATTCTTCTTTCTCAGACAGGTGGTAAAATAGGCCTGGCAGTGCCTCAGACTAGGAGCCTGGCCCTGGTCAGTGTGTGGGTGCCGCTTAGTCTACCTGGCATTTAGGTCTTCAGCTGCAATGCCATTCCATTCCTTCCTCTGGATCTGCGTTCCTACCTATTGGAGCTGAGCTCCGGCTGAGTCCTGGTGAGGGGGATGGGGGTGGGGGGCAGAGGTACCAATGGGTCTTTTCTAAACGTTTTATGGGCTAGTGCTTCTCAGGTCTGTCTGCACAGTAAACAATGAACAGAATGATTAAACCAGAATCTCTGTGGGCAATTCTAACAGGCAACCATGTTAGAATGCTGTCCAAAAGCTGGACTTTGAGCCATCAGTCTGCCTGTAGCACTGGGAAAATGAAGATTTCAAAACCCACACCTCACAGAATTGTTCTAGTAATTCCGACGCAAATGGTGGAACATGTTAACATTATTTGTGAAAATACAAAAGGAAAGAGGAAACAAAAATGCAGTACTGCTCATGTTTTGATTGTATTCAAATTTTTATTTTTTGAACAAAAAAACATAAGGACAATGATCTTAAATAATAAGACATGGTATAGTCTAGATACTTTTAAAAAGACAGTTTATTAAATTTGGATTTCTACAGTTCTGTTGTGACGCTCTCTTCGACATTAATATTTATTTATTTTTTACCATTTTATCACCACTCTAAACTCGCTAAACAAAAAATCACTCTGTCTGCTCCCACGAAGCTTCACTTTAAAGAAATCCTCCACTCCCACATCAAACACACACAGAACAGTCATGATGTATTTACAGAACACAGGAAGTCTGTCCAGCCATTTTGGTTTTGTTGTTCCCTTACCCATGCTGACATCAGCAAAAAGCTAAGTAATAAGCATGATTTCGCTTCAGCAGGCCAAGGGTGGCATCAACCAAACTTCATGAATCAACCAACAAGTTACAAACATGGTCAGCAAAAGTCAACTTGTACAACAGTGATTTACAAGCATACACACGGAGTGGGTCACAACTAGACTGGCTTTCCCTGTGCAACTTTCCTCAGGGAACAGTACTACCCATTTCACATAGAAAGGGTGATGCATCAAAGCCTTTGTTCATGAAGAAGATGCCCTTCAAAACAAACTCATCATAAGGCAAAAGGAAAAAGAAAAAGAATGAAGTAGTTTGGCCCAGAGAGAGGCTTGTATACAATGTGTATACACAGTATATACACATTTATAGATATATTACAATTTAAACTATGTATATAGTCATTTGACAATTAAATGAATTGGCTCAGTGCAGTGAAAACGTGTTCATTTTCTACAAACTGTAGTTATTGCTAATATGCTACACATGATAGTTGGACATGGAAACTGAGTAACTTAGAATTAAAGCTGCCATATTGTCAGTGTCAGCCCCGCAGCAGGCGTTCATACGGACAACATGCCATCCCTGCCTAAAGGAAAAGCAAACATTCCACTACCATAAAAAAAAAAAGAAAGAAAGAAAGAAAAAGAAAAAGGCTTATGCACTGTCCCTTACATATTTGCCTATTTTTTAAAAAGCAAAAAACAAGTCCAGTTCACCACAAGCTAAGCACAACCTGACAAGCAAGTTTAGCGGCCTGAAGGGAGGGGAGAGGGAAATACGGCATGCATTTACAAGGAGCACTGTTCTAGTCTATTTTGTCATACAAACTGGAATACAAAAATCCAATTTAAATAAGACTAGACTAACTGTAATAGTAAAAAACCAAAAAAAAATATAATAAAATAAAGCAGAAAACCAACCACACGCACAGTAGACTTGGTTGATACTGATTATTTAAGAGTAAAAGTCATCCTGTCCCGTCTTATACCCCACTGCAATTTATTTATTGATGGCTAGAAGATTTACTTTAAAAAAGATATTAAATACCTGTAATTACATTCTTTTTAACAATGAGACATACTGTTTAAGAAAATAGCTCGTGTGAAATGTGTCTGAAATGCATTTTTCCTCATAACTATCAAAACATCTACTCACACTTAAAACAACCCCCCCCACCCCCACCCCCCTGATAGTTAAGGACAGATGGGGTGGGTGAGGTGAGGGACAGGGAAGGAAAGGGTTACCAGCACAGTGTTTAACAATGGTTCAAGACAGAGCCAACAAGAGTTGGTCAAAAAGATGCCTTCGATACATGGCTATGATTAAAAACCAAACTCAACCACTTTGGGTTCATTGCAGTGACGCCAAAAAAAAAAAAAATCTTCCTCACAGATTTATAGAAATACTAGACTCCAGCTCGTTCGTTATTATTATTTTGTAAAGTTTTTCTGTTTGTTTTTGCAAGGCCTGGCTACCTTGTTACACTTTTTATCTGCTCTGCAACAACTACGAGAGGTAGGCATAAAGCATGAAAAAGTTTCCCGTTCGTACCTCGCTGCGGATTGTTCACTGCGCAATACCATTCACTTTAGTCTTTTCTGAACCCCAAAACAAAGCTGCTGCCATTCCATCAATGTTCTAAAAGAGTGTACTCATAAATAAGAAACTTTTTCTACTGAAGGATACTGTCAGTGTTTGCTGCAGAGCATTTGAATGAAAAAAAAATTATATATATATAAAATTATATATATATATATTCAAAAAACAACAAAAACCAGACCCAGGTTCCTAGAACCAATTCTCTTGATTCTCTACGTCCACAAAATAATGTATACCATTTGGCCAAGACTACAGATGTGTTTCTTTTTTTTTTTTTTTTTCACAGATGCAAGTGCCATGCAAAAAATAAATTAAAGAACAGATACCAAAACATACATGTGATAAAACTACTGAAGGTAGATCTTTAAAAGCATTTATATAAACATAATTTATAATACTTCTTTTTTCTCCTGTATGTACAGTCACAAAGCTGTAGTTATACATCTAGGATTTCCTCTGCGGTGCCCCCACAGCGCAACCTGTAGCGGCCAGTTCTCCAGCTTATCGTAGGGTCCCATAATGCCGACAAAAAAATGTATATCGTCATGGATTCACGGATGAACCAAGCTACTGCATAATCAAGTTTTGAAAAACACAGTGTGCCACCCTACAAATTAAAAAAAAAAAGAATTGATTTACTATCAGACTAAAGACAGTTAAAAAAAATAAACATTTTTGAATTCACACTTTTAAGTACACTACACAAAAATCAAGTCTGTTCAAAAAAAATAAAATCCATTTCTTAAGATAACTTAACTGTGATGCAATATTATAATGGTAAAGAAAATGTTGGCCTGGGTGGTTGCTCAGTGGTTAGAGCCAAGGATCAAAGCGTTGCGGGCTCAAGGCACGTAAGTCAGTTGCAGGTTCAATGCCGGCACGTGGGGGGCATGAGAGGGAGTCAATTCTCTCAATGATGTATCTCTCTCACATAGATGTTTCTCTCTCTGTAGCTCCTCCTCTCCTTTCCACTCTCTCTAAAAATCAATGGAAAAAATACCCGACCAGCATGGCTTAGTGGTTGAGAACTGACCTATGAACTAGGAGGTCACAGTTCAATTCCCAGTCAGGGCACATGCCCAGGTTGCAGGCTCCATCCCCAGTGGGGGGCGTGCAGGAGGCAGGTGATCAATGATTCTCTTTCATCATTGATGTTTCTATCTCCTTCTCCCTCTCCTTTCCTCTCTGAAAGCAATAAAAATATATTTTTAAAAATATCCTCATACCTGGGGTGAGTATTAAAAAATATAATAAAAATTTTAATTATCTACATATATAAAAGCCTAAGCAACCATTCGACTGGTAGCTATGATGTGCACTGACCACCAGGGGACAGATGCTCAACACACAGGCATGGAAACAGGGAACAGACTGATGAATCCCCGAGGGAAGGGAGGAGGGGGGAGGGCGGGAAGAGATTAACCAAAGATCTTATATGCATACTAGAGGCCTGGTGAACAGATTCATGCACCGGTAGGGTCCCTCAGCCTGGCCTGTGGGGACCGGGCCGAAACTGGCAGTCCAACATCCCCCAAGGGATCCCGGATTGTGACAGGGCACAGGCCAGACCAAGGGCCCCCACTGGTGCATGAATCCGTGCACCAGGCCTCTAGTGAGTAAATAAGAAGCATTAAAAAACTGCTAGCCTAATACATCCTGAGTGAACACTTTTTAATTTAACATCATTGTTATTTTTCTTTGAGTCCTAATAATAGTGACTGCATAACAACTGAAAGCTGAAAGTCAAGTTGAGTTTTGGGTCCACATTCCACCAACAAAAGGAATGTTTAAACTTGATATTAACCTTCAATGGGAAGCTATCTGATCTTTTCTACCTTTAATAAATTAAAAAGTGGTTTGTTTTTTTAAAATTCTCATGTAAAGACACGTTTTTATTGAGTTAATTTGAGAGAGAGAGAAAAACATTGATGTGAGGAAGAAACATGGGTTGGCTGCCTCCTGCACATGCCCTGACCAGGGACTGAACCTGAAACCCAAGTATGTGCCCTGATTGGGAATTGAACCTACCTCCTTTTGGTGTACACAGGATGATACTCCCACTAACAGAGCCACCGTTCAGGGCTAAATTAAAAAGTTTTAGTTCCATCAAATGACTGCCAATCTTTCCATACCTATCCACATACCTGGACACCCCTGAGTTGAATGTAGTCAAATATAAACCATGCCAGGCAATGACACATGAAAAATACCATAATATCCCATCTGAATACATGGTGGGCTGCCCATCCAATAATTAAACTGGCAACAAAGCATTCTGAAATCGGCTCACAAATTATTGTAGCAGGAAGCATGTTAATTCGTAATTTAGTCCACCTAAAAAATAAAAGGATTTTCTTTAAACAATAGCTTGGTTACAAGACTAAACCTTTCCCCCTGAAAATAATCAGTTCTTTACCATGTTATATCAAGGCCCACCTCTTCAAAGAGTATTTAATGAATCTCTTCTATTTTTATTTAGCATATAAAAAGGCTAGAAATTCATTTGTATGGTCTATATGAATAAAGATTATAAAATTCAAAGTATAGAAAATGAGAAAATAAAGACGAGCACATAAAAAAATCGTCTCAACGTTTCTTTTCTGAATGCTTTCTGTGTAACACAGTGAAGAAAATATATGTAGACATTAAATTAATTTTAAAAAGAAGCTAAACTTTCTTTTCTGGAACTGAAAAATCTGACTTTTAGATTTATTTTTAAAACAAGTTATACCACATAAAAATCACCCCCCTCCCCCCCTTTTTTAAACAAAGTATAAAAGGCAGAAAGCGGCTGACTCACCTGATCATTCTGGATTGAAACTGAGAAATGGAATATGAGCCAGAGTTCTGCATGGCAACTTGAGTGGACATCGCAAACCGCCAACCTCTGAAAGTTAAGACAGTTGAGCTGTGATGATGGACACGTGCAAGTGTGACTGGCGATGCTTTAATCATCACTGTAAAGAGGCATCAGGGAGAGCCTAGTCCTCAGGATTAGCACTCAGGGTACATCATGTGGATGTCTGAGCAGTTACGTGGGCTCCCGATAGTACCATCTAAGGGCTGGAAGAAGCTATAACCCCTCCGTTTACAATTTAAGAAACTTAAACAACAGGTATTCTCAAAGTTCTAAATGGAATGGGTTCTGTATATAATAGTTTAGTCTCTGGCCCAGTGGTTGAGCGTCGACCTATGAACCAGACAGAATGTCCGGATCAATTTCCGGTCAGGGCACATGCCCAGGTTGAGGACTTGATCCCCAGCGTGGGACTTGCAGGAGTCAGCCAACCAATGATTCTCTCTCATTGATGTTTCTATCTCTTGTTCCCTCTCCCTTCCTCTCTGAAATCAATAAAATATATTTTAAGAAAAAGAAAGTTTAGGTGGGAACGGCCAGGGAGAGGTCAATGGGGGAAAAAGGAGACATATGTAATACATTAAACAATAAATTTTATAAAAAAGTTTAGTCTACTAACCACAAAGGGGTGGGGAAGGGCGATGTGTGTGTGTGTGTTCAACAAGAAATGTAAACAAAAAGTGACATTATATATCTCTTGCGAAACACTATGAAACCACAAAACAACATGAACACCATTCATGAGAAAATTTTAAAACCACACTTCAATTTTTAAACCACTTCTTTAGTAAATTATCACACAAGACAAGGATCCCCTTTAATAGCAAACAGTATTATTTTGTGATAGGGAAATGTTAAGTCAATCATGTGAACCATTAGTTGGCTTCTTAGCAAAATCCCAAATAATCTGAAAATTTCAAACTTTGAAATAATGTCCTTTGAATTTTCACCTACTGGCTTATGACTACACTGATATTTTTAATTCTTCTAAAACACACAGAAATTTACACCCATAATAATGAACATTCACAATTACAAAGAAGCTTCCTTTTAATCACTTCAAACCTCATTAATCTGAAGAATGTAGATGAATGAGAATATTTATGTCTTTAGAATAACATTATCTATGAATTTATAGAAATTACTTTCTAAAAATATTAACCTATCCTGCATTCACTAGCAAAAATGAAGAGTCCTTAATCCATGGTTTTAACAAATAGAATAAACCAACAGAAGTTAAGTACTGATTTAGGTACTGAGCATACTGTAGCCTAATGTAATTTAGTTTTCTTACCGGTCAGCTATTGCTTTGGCCATAAAGTAATCTTCAGCAATGTATTGAGCAAAAGCTATAAGCCCTCCTGCTTGGTCTAACACATCCTTTCTCATTAAACAAGACATTCCTGTTACACATTTGAAACCAGTTACATGGGCAGAGATATAGGACCTCGGATGAGAAGTTCCAAAATATACCTGCCGAAAAAACAACCCAGAAACACATGTATACAATTAGAATTTTATGTATGGTGTTTATAAACTCTTATTTCTAATGAGTTTCCTTTAAGTATGACTGAATGAATATCATATTCTTATATAAATTACCTGAATAAAAATCGGTATAAATAATGTTTCCATATGTCAGGCAGTCAGTAATTTCATTGGTTGACTACTCTTGCTATTACCTTATTACTTCTATTTTTTAAAATTTATTTTTATTGTTGAAAGTATTACAGATGTCCCCATTTTTTCCCCTCTGACCCCTCCACCTGACTCCCACCCTACCTCAGGCCTTCACCACACTACTGTCTGTGTCCATGGGGTGTGCATATATGCATGTAAGTTCTTTGGTTAATCTCTTCCCCTGCCACCCCCTTCCCTCTGAGATCTGTTACGTCTGTCCCACGCTTCCATGTCTCTGGATCTATTTTGTTCATCAGGGAAAAGTAGATTCTATTCTCAAATAAAAGTGATCTTCCCTAAAACTGCAAGATTCAAAGATTTATCCAAATAAAACTTAATTTAGACATAAAATAAGACAGGTAAAAATATCACCCATTGTTATATATAAAAATGAAGAAATATTTATCATCCTGCTTTCAGAATGTTCATATAATTACACACACACACACACACACACATATATAATATATGTATATATGTATGAATACATATACAAACACCACCTATCAACCTAAAGGATGATTTCTTAACTCCTTTTCTTGTATCCGTTCATAGCTGGCTGCTTCCTGCCCCCGAGTCACTGAGCTTCTCAATTTCCCCAATTTTATTTTTCAACTTATTTTTCATAATCAGGGCAGACACTAAAATTCTGTCTCCCATTTTACTGCCCTTTCCCTAGATAGCTGTGAAGTCACGAGATATGCAAGCTGTTAAAATTAATGGTTAGAATAAGATGGTCATCACCCTACTTATTATACATAAAACCCTACTGATTATTTGCATCTGGGATATGCTACGTCTTCTAATTAGCTTGAAATAGAGAGCAGTGATCTTTCTCGATGGCAAGAGTTGCATACACGGCATGGAGCAGGGAATTATCAGGGCAATTAAGAATATGATTCTTGCTACCCACCCCATACCCAGACTGTAATGAAGCCCTTTGTGGTACTGAATAGGACCAAACTTCTAAGACCAGAAATATACATCTTCATTCCATAGGCAGTTATTAAGTGAGGTCTGAGGAACGGGATGGGACTATGGACTAGTTGGAGGCTCTACAGATTTCTTTATAAAATGGAATGAATCCTCTGGCCTATTTCTATTCATTCTAAGTCTGGTAGATTAAACCTAAACTACAGGGGTTGGTGCAAAATGGGAGGTGCTTATCACTGACATATAAATCAACCTGGACACTTCTAAAACAGAAACACAATGTGGCATATAAGAATAAGACATATTTCATTTTGAAGGAATTGAGAGTTTCCTTTTCTAAACAAAAAGTCGATTAGAGGACAATTCGTCCTTCCCAAAATGTCATCCCAACTCTCTGAATAGGCTCAAGTTCTGGGCGAGTAGGAATCCGACAACAAGAAGATTATTTATGAGCATCACACTCACCTGTTCCAACGTGGCGGCAAAGCCCTGTCTGTCTGCTACGTACGGCAGCCCGTGAACCAGGCCGACTTTCTCTGTCATTTGGTTCACCATGTCAGTGAGTGTGTCTGGAAGCACTACATAAAAAATACAAAAAGGTGGCAAGGGGGAGAGAGAAAAACACTCTTTTTAGTAAAATGCCCACTAATGTAAAATATATTCTGTGAGTTATTAAATTACTAAAAAAAAAATTAAAAAATTAAATTCTTTTTTTATATTTGGATCTATTAAAGGAATCCCAATCCCTTTTCTGAGTAGAATACAAAATTTCAAAAAGGTGTAATTTATGATAAGCTAATTTACTCTATACGTTGTTAGGCCATTATGTACCTAATATGGATATACCTTGAAAACCTTAACTACTCCCGCTTCAGATCCTCCAAACTGGAGTGATGGACAATGTGTCCTAGTCGAAAACTACAGGGGTAGAGGTCAAAGGACCCCAGTTCTTAGGCCTCCTCCTTCATTCTCTAACCACAGGAAATGAGCCTATACTTTCTTGGAGGGTAGGAGATGTCCTATCTCATAAAACTGCTGCCAGGAATCAAGTAAGATTATACTTGACAGAGATTTGTGCACTGGAAACATAACACATTCATGATGGTATATAACTTTTGATAGTAAATGTGTCGAACATAGTCTCTGATAGACATGTAAGGGTCCTGACTTATGAGGAGTGCCACCCTGACTTAAACACAAATAATCGAAGGCAGCAGTTCTGACCTGCTGCCCCACAGGGGACACCTGGCATTATCTGGAAACATTTCTGGGTGGCACCCTGACAGGGGTGCCACTGGCATCCCGTGGGTGGAGGCCAGGGATGCTGCTGAACAGCCTCAGCAACAAGGAATTACCAGCCCAGACGTCAACAGTGCTGAGGTTGAGAAACCCGAGGTAATTAGAATGCAACAGCATAGCACAGAACTCTGAAGTTACAGTAAGTATGAACCTTTAAAGCTGCAGGTTGAAATTTCAGTATAGAAAAGGCTTCCTGTTAAAATCATCTAAGTGAAAAGCCCTAAATGTATTCTACTAAAATATCTATAATTTCTGTTCCTTTGTGTGAGATAGTGTGGTTATTGTGCCACGAACAGATCAAAGTAAAAGTGTCACATGAAAAAGTGGAACTTTACAGCTGTGAGAAAGTTTATAGAATGTATAATGGACCACAACTGTACTTTTTTAATGGCTGAAATTGTCTCTTCAAGATGAAAACATTTTTATACATATAACGTTCCAGGGTAGCATAAAAAAGTCAAAATCTTAGTATAACTTGACACATTACCATAAAATAATGATAAAATGAATTATTTTATTAGGCTAACAAAAAAGGGTTGATAAATTTGTTTTCAGACTGCTTTTGGAACTTTTTTCATCAAATAAATAGTTTTATAAAATAAGAAAAGCCTCACCTCTTATTCCACTATCACAAATCCAGATAAGATCATACTTTGCAACTTCATATCCTGGCATTAGATTATTAATTTTAGGATTAATGCCAACCTTTTTGCCACCTAAAAATGGAAAGGCACAGCAATGAAAAATTCATTCAACACTGAAAATATTTTCTATTATACAGACATATGGTAGAGAGAAATAAGAAGTACTTGCATATTTAATAATTTAAATGAACGTGCTTTTACATTGTTTTACATTTCTTATTCACAATGATATAGTTAGAAAAAAACTGTCCGTTCTCAAAGGAGAATTATATCATTTATCTTTAAAGTTTTATTAGTTTCAGCTTTCTAGTTCGTAAGTTCTTATATTAATAGTAAGCATGGCCTGGCCAGTGTGGCTCAGTGGTTGAGTGTTGACCTATGAAACAGGAGGTCATGGTTTGATTCCCGGTCAGGGCACATGCCGGGTTGCACGCTTAATCCCCAATGGGGCGGTGTGCAGGAGGCAGCTGATCAATGATTCTCTCTCATCATTGATGTTTCTATCTCTCTCTTCCTTCCCCTTCCTCTCTGAAGTCAATAGAGATATATTTTTAAAAAAATAGTAAGCATGCCCTAAGGTTTTGGCTCAGTGGATAGAGTGTCTGCCTGCAGACTAAGGGGTCCCAGGTTCGATTCTGGCCAAGTGCATGTACCTTGGTTGCAGGCACATCCCCAGTAGGAGGTGTGCAGGAGGCAAGTGATCAATGTTTCTCTCATCGATGTTTCTAACTCTCTATCCCTCTCCCTTCCTCTCTGTAAAATATCAATAAAATACGTTTTAAAAAAAATAGTAAGCATGAATCAATATATATTGGAAAATAAACCTCTACAAAAGTCTTTAGAATAAGCCTTCATGCAAGCTTTTGGAAAAATACTCCTTTTGCAATAAAATAAAAGTGAATTCTATGCTAACTCCCAATTACAATGAAGGAAATACAAAAAGGCCACAAAGTGAAAATATTAAAGAAGCAAATAGCAGATTCTTATATCTGATTGATGAGTTAAACATAATTTGGGATTATTTTTTGTTACTTTGTTAATCCCAGATATGAAAAAAACCCTTTGTTTTTATAACTGAAGCTTTCTCATAAGAATATAAACACCTTTTGCTGCTCCAGTAAATATGCATAAAGCAAGCATGCCAATAACTTCGACGGGTGGCTGACATCTTAATCAATAGTCTAAAGCCAAGATTACTGCCATCTAATACTATTACAGCAAAATGGCTTTTGGAGAATTCGTAGCTTACCTATAAACAATCTGGCATCGACATTTGGATATTTTCCAAGAAGCTTCTTACATACATCAATGGCTGGATCGTCATGATCTTGTACACAGAGGAGTACTTCATACTAGCCAAAGAACACATTTTATGTAAATTAATCTTTTTACAAAAAGAAGCACTTAGTAGTATTTACTGATTGATAAAAAAGCATTAAGAAAATCAAGCAATTGTACACACAAGTTAAAAGTTAAGAGAGTATTCATAATGGATGCAAGCACTTATGATACTAAGTGCTGGCTGTGGATCAGAGCAGCTTCCCCAGAACAGGGCCTGTGTGCAAGCAGAGGGAGAACGGAGAGACTGGCGGTGCCCACAGTTGAAATCTTGCCATTCCTAGATAGGCATAGCCTCGTCATCAGATCAGATCGCAAGCGTCTCCGTGCCCTCCATCACGAAGATTTACTACATGTTCACACAGTGCCAGCAGTGTAAAAAGCAACGTGGAAAGCAAACCAAATAAACACAGCCTCCATTCTCTAAAACTTTGTCTCTGAACTTAATACATAATAATTTTTTAAAAATAAAATAGAATTTGATTCAAAATGTATCATCTTGAAAAAAATGCTTAGCCTTTCTAAAAAAATGTTATTGTTTTGAAAGAGAGAGAGAGAGAAGAGAGAGAGAGAGAGAGAGAGAGAGAGAGAGAGAGAGAGAGAGAGAACCATTGATGGACTACCTCCTGCACGCCCTTCACTGGATCCAGCCGGTAACCTGGGCATGTGCCCTGACCCGGAATCAAACCAGTGACCTCCTGGTGCATGGGATGAAGTTCAGTTAACCGAGCCGCACCAGCCAGGGTGAGTGCTTAGCCTTTAACCTATGAACATACTCAGAATTTTTTTTTCTCTCAGTGCTATGTTTACTCTTTGATAGTAAAGTAAGGAAGTAATTTCTTAGCACTTGACTGTGTCAAAGTTACCCTGGTACGTGTATTTTCAAAAGGGAATACCAGGCCCTATTCTTAGATTTTTGAATCAGAATCTCTGGGGTGACATGTTTATAAAATCTTGAGCTCTAAGTTACCACTTAATAAACTATTAAATTAAAAAAAATGTTTGTTTCCACATACAAAGATGCTACTTTAGTATTTTGTGGGATATTTTTTCAAAAGTGGTGATAAATTCATGCTGACTCAATGACAAATTTTCTACTAATCCTCTTTCTGAAATAGGTTGGACATTTTGAAGCAAAAAAAAAGGGAGGGTAATGATTTGCGTGAAAAAATATCAAAGCTATGTTTTGTAAAAAATAAAGAGCTAAGGACACAACTTTTTAAGTGCTAACTTGTATAAAGGGAAGGACTATTTACTTCCATTGATAAGCAAACACAAGTAAAAAGTGAAAATAAAATGTTTACAGTGCCCTTGAGCACAATAATTACTATTTGCTCAATATATACTATCTCAGCAAAAATTGGCAGTATAGAAATTAGTGGTTTGAGCACAAAAGAGGAAGGACTAAGGTCTATGAAGAAAGTTATAGGTAAGATTTATTTTTCAAGTTAAGTAAATGTTTTTTCACACATTCTACCCGGTATCTACCTTTAACACTGACCAAATTGCCACTCAGGCGGCAGTGAAAACGACTACACAGCTACCTAGTTTCCAGAGATCAGATTAAACTCTGAGAAGGGAAAGGCCCCACTCTTGCCACACCCCTAAGATTTCCCAAAGGGTTGACTCTGAGTTCTAGAAAGTGTCAGCCATCATCCTAACTTGACTTTCAGAACAATGTTTGGCTGAGCTGCCAAAAGGTATTGACCTTAACAATGAAGATTAGAAAGGCTAAGTGACTTTCTAAAGGGTAATGGTGACAATTACCTTTCCTACTACAGTGGGCTGCTCAGCCAGGCTTGCTCTAAAGAGTTCCTTGTTTTTGCAAACATAGCATAGTTTCCTTAACGTTTTTATCTTTTATGCTTTTTGGCAGGTATGAGTGAATATAGTGAAAGGAAATATTTATAAGCAATGCGATTCCATAAAATAGAATTAAAAAGCTAACTTCAGCCTTTTTCCCCAGCAGAAAACTTTGTAAAATATACTAGAAATGTACTCAATGGGAAGAAGAAAAAAAAAGCTATGCTAGGTTACAGCAAACATCTTCGAGAATTATATGGTATTAATGTAAGTAAGGGAGTACATATAGTTTACCTTTGTTCAAATTCAAGGTTTACCTTTTAATTAGCCTTGGTGCAAATAAAACTCAATTCATATTATCAAGAAAATGTTCGGACTTTTATTATAAAACACAACTTTTGCTTAATTGTTTCTGATGTTGAAAAATCATATCCATTTGGAGGCAGCATTCCAAGTGTTATCTAAAGTATCAGATTGAACCAGGAGCCTCCAGTTTTCAGCTATGATAATCACACCTCTGTCTTCACAGTTTGATCAAACATTTATTGGTTACAGACTTTCTTAGCAAACACAAAATACAGTGTTTATTAAAAACATATTTTATGAATATCTCAAGAAAACATGTACTTCACAAATCTGGAAGTGATATAAGTAAATTCCACTATAAATGGATACAGCATGAAGACATGAGATCTAGAAATAAACCCCAGAATACTTTAAATGAGGTTAGCCTCCATCAAATCTCTACTAAGGCTGCTATACAAATATCTAAACTGACTAATTCCCCCCTTTTTTTCAAACAGTGAGATGACTAAAGAACTAAAGAACGAGAGGTACAAAAACCCACAAATTGTGACTCATCCCTTTGATATTTAAGAAATGAATATCTGAAACTGCAATAATCATGAAGGCAATTTTTCTGCTTTATGATTAAAAAGTAATCTTAATTAAATAATATTAGATGTGTAAATAATATTAGAAAAAAGTTCCTCATTGATTTAGCCCTATCAACATTAGGAATGCAAAGTTTTAAATATAGTAAACAACATAAAATATCCTCTTAAACATAAAAATGTTTTAATATATATTAATCAATTATATTGCATAATGGATAGGAATATCTTGAATTTTTTATAAATAACTAAATGTCGTGTTTACAGAAAAATCTTATGATGACATCTGGATTACAGAAGATCATTTGGGGAAAGAATATACTTAGACCCCAAATGCCCAGAACATTCTCTGGTGCCGAGGAGGAGATGAATGTATTTATTAAGCTAAGGCGCTCATCCTAGGGCAGCCTTTTTAAAAAATATTTTATTTATTTTTTAGTTTTTTAAAATTTATCTTTATTGTTGAAAGTATTACAGATGACTGCTTTATTGTTGTTGTTTTTTTCCCCACTGACCGCCCCCTCCCAGAACTCACCCCTTAGGGAAGCTTTAAGTAAAAGACAAATGCCAGTCAGGAAATGTTTTGCAAGAGAACCACTCTGAATTCAAAGTTTTGACAATACTAAATACTTACCTATTTTTTTAAAAAATATATTTTATTGATTTTTTACAGAGAGGAAGGGAGAAGGATAGAGAGTTAGAAACATCGATGAGAGAGAAACATCGATCAGCTGCCTCCTGCACACCCACTACTGGGGATGTGCCTGCAACCAAGGTACATGCCCTTGACCGGAATCGAACCCGGGACCTTTCAGTCCGCAGGCCGACGCTCTATCCACTGAGCCAAACCAGTTTTGGCTATACTTACCTATTTTTAAGAAGTAAGTAATTTATACAGTTTTTGAAATTTATTTAAAAGACCCCTAATCTTTCTGACTTAGTAGTTTTATTACATATATTGTGCTTCATCTTTTGATAAGTGATCCTATTTTCAATCTTCAATTCTTTGTTGGAAGACGGGCTAAAAAACATTTCCTCTCAGGGATAGCTACACCACTGGCAATAAAGAATTCAAACATGCACTGGACTTGTAATGTTTTAAACAAATTCTGTATTTGCAGAAAAGAAAAAGTCATAAATGCCATAGCCTCATTCTGTTAATAACTCTGATCATTAATTACAAATTCTTCATATGGCCAGAACTCACTGAAGTAAAGCCATCAGTCATGTTAGATGCAGATTACTGAGTTTTCCTGCTACTGGCTGACTCTCTCCCAATGCCTTCTATGCTGATGCCAAATGAGTACTCAATTTTATGAAAAATGAACTGTATCACTTGTCCACTCTTATATATTTTCCAAGGAATAATTTTTTTAAAAAATATACCTTATTGATTTTTTACAGAGAGGAAGGGAGAGGGACAGAGAGCCAGAAACATCGATGAGAGAGAAACATCAATCAGCTGCCCCCTGCACACACCCCACTGGGAATGTGCCCGCAACGAAAAGGTACATGCCCTTGACCAGAATCGAACCTGGGACTCTTCAGTCCGCAGGCCAACGCTCTATCCACTGAGCCAAACTGGTCAGGGCACCAAGGAATAATTTTTAATCAAGGAATACATATAATCACAGAAATCTTTCAAGGCAATTAGTATAGTAATGTCACCGAAATTTAAACCTAAAAATTCAGAACAAGTTCCAGTAGTAAATCTTGCACATGTCCAAAATTAAATAAAATTTTAGAATTTCAACGTATGTTTTATTTTTCTCCCAAATGGCCTATAATGTTGCACATCAAATACCAGGGGAAGGAGTTATGTCCAGAATAAAAATGTTTCCATACTTTTTAAAACAATGTTCACACATGACAAGATGAAATTATTACAGTGCATTGGGCCTGGCTGTCACATGAATGTTCATTTCATGACTACCCGCCTCCTTGTCGATAGAAAGGGCTCATCTATTCACACTCAGGTCTGGGTGATGTTTCAGTGGTTTAACTTCAGTCTCTGTGGAACATTGTCATTGTGTTTTTTTTAAAAAGCAAATAAAAAGCCACGAGATCAAAATTTTCCTTTAGATGGCAGGTATTTTGTGCTTTCCCTCTGCTTTCTAAATTTTCTATTTACACAGCTAACAATACTTTTGTAATCAGAAAATAAAACCGTGATCAAAGTATCAAAATAGCTTTCTCCTCAACCAATTTAAATGCCTGGTGACATGATTTAAGTGGAAAAAGAACTAAGTGAAAACTACAGCTCTTGAGATAATCCCGAATTGTAATTTAAAAAAAAAAAATCAGGATTAAGAAGTCAATTATTGATTCATCCCAAATGTTCATAATTAATGGCTACATCTGTTCCTGGAGTTATTTTTAAAAACTCTTTCTACAATTAAAACCCACACTAACTTCTGCAACCATTTAAATTCCATGACTATCATCTCACATGAGCTACAATATAGAAATTCTATAATTAGGTTTTAAAAGTGGTTTAGTGAGAAAAGGGGGAAGGGAAGGCTGATGGTTAAAAATTGAAATGTGAGACTGTTTCACAAGAATAAATTTATACGATTCTTCTTAGCTATGCTCTGAGATTTATTTGTAACCAATGAAAATATTCTTTCATTATAAAAATAAATTCTCCTTTGCACTTACTTATATAATGGAGGTCTTGAAAAACTTCCATTTTTCCTATTGTAGAACTTATTTTACAAATTAATTGTATTTATGTAATTCTTTCTGAATTATAAAAGGCCAATTTTTGCATTTTCAGTTTGAAAGAAGATCAAGTACAACTCAGCCATAAAAAAAGATAAGATATTTGTAACATTTGTAACATGGATGGGTCTTGAGAGTATTATGTTAAGTGAAGTAAGTCGGATGGAAAAGAACAAGAACCATAGGATTTCACTCAAAAGCAACAGATGAACAAACAAAACTTATAGATGCAGTCAAAAGTATGGTGGTTACCAGAGGGGAAGAGAGTGGGGGAGAGGATGAAGAGGGTCAAATGTATGGTGATGGAGGGAGACCAAACTTCAGGTGGTGAGCCATTTCTGTCCTGTGACTACTGTTACTACAGCATAAAATTTGAGGTTGACATCATCATGAATTCTTCGTACCTTTACCTTATACAGTGTCAAAATGTCTCTTTATGTATTTACGATGAGAGAGAGAGAGAGAGAGAGAGAGAGAGAAGATGGCCCCATTTCTAATGAGGACAACACTACACTTACTTTGGGATAATCCAATTCAAAAAAAGTTTCCAAGTTGTTGATGAGATTGGGATCCACTCCTTTCAGTGGTTTCAGAAGAGACACGCCTGGGAGCTTGCTATATGGCTGTTTGTCAGTTGCCTTCTTGTTGAGGTGCAATCGGCTACAAAGCAAACAATGTATACATTATTTCTGGAGAATATATTAGCGCCAAATCTATATATAACATACACCAAGTTATCAAGAATTACTAAATTCTAAGTTAAATAATTTTTAACGGACATTTTTCTAAAGGGATATCTGAAAATGAAGGCAAGTAGAACCAGGGAAGCTTCCAGATTAAGGAAAACCAGAACTAAGCAGAAGCAATACTCCAACGAAGGCCGGAACTTAAGACTGTTGCCGATTGCTGTACTCGCAAGTGCCTAGAACTATGCCGGGCATACAGCAGACATCCAGTAAATACACGGTGAGAAAATGAGTAACAGTGTTAGTCCACACATTAACTGCCCCTCCCCCCGCACTGCCATCAAACTGGCCAAAAACTATCAAAACAGCGTGCGTGTGGGAATCGGGAGAGTAGCAGAACTCCCAATATTCACAAGCCGCAAATGGGAGGGCTGGGTCAGGGGGAAGCTGAAAGTAAGAAAAAAAAATCTCAGTGATGAGAAAAATGTCTACTAATGACACTGGAAAATATGCCAGTGTCATCAATTCCCAGATAAGTTGGTCGAGGTTCTCAGGGCTGGCCCATCCCAGGGGTATTGCAGCACAGGGCTCCTAATGAGGGAAGCCATGCCATCAGAAAAGAGAGAATGTGCCCCAGTTACTGTCAGGCTATCACAATAAAGAAATGAGATGCCATTCGGCAGAGTGGCGAAGTTCTAAGGGAAATCACCAAAGGCTGCCTCTCTCCTTCTCAAAAGCAAGTCTCCAAACTCTCCACAGAGGCTAGAACATTCATGGAGCCATCTGCAAGCTATGGTAAGACACATTCTTTCACATTTCAGTCTCTCTGAAATCAATGGGATCTTACAATTGCTGGCAGCCAGATAGATGGGAGTCCTGAGGCTGTAGCATGAAAACCAACCTATGAGACCTGAAGAAGACCAAGAAAACACCAGCAGCATCAACGCCTCTTAGGTTGGATGAAATGCACCATTAATCTATGAATGACTCCTGGAAGTACACCAGTGCCACCTTCTAGAGCAGTCGGCCACAGGCTTGCTCCCAGCTAATTAAGGCGGGGAGTTACCATAGTAAACAACTAATGTTTCAGGTAAGGCCATACCAACATCCTTACAGAAATAAAACAGGTTACCTACAATGAAAAAAATTTACACATGAAAGACATTTAAAAGACGGTGTATAGATTTCATAGCCACACCACCAAATGCCAAAAACAGTGGAGCACGGCCTACAGCAGTGCTGCCCAGTGTGGTCCACTGTACGAGGTGCTTTTTATTGGTCTGTGATGAGAAGAACTAGAGAGAAATCATTTAGAAACTTTTACAGCAGTCTGACATGGCCAGGCCATCCAAACACGTGATCAATAATTTATTTTTATTGTAGTTTATCAAAGTTGTCAATGCATAACAGAGAGGAAAATTCTTAAAGGACTGATCCTTTGCCACCAATAGGTTGGAAAATACTGATCTACAGAATTGATCAAGAGGGCTGGATAGAGGTTCAACCATGAGCTAAGATGTATATAGCCACAAAAATGACCACTATTCCATTTCTAACAAAATAGTAGACTGAACGTCTAGAGAGAAACCCACCCAGTACAGAACATCTAGATTGCTGGGGGGGGGGGGGGGAGTTTTAGTAATACTTAATTGAACTGGTAAGATAGCCACCACATGGTTCAAATCACAAAAAATATTAAGAAGTTCATGTAAGTCTCCCTGTTTCCCATCTACCTATTCCTATCACTACCTCCCCAGCACTAGAAGCGTCTTGCTGATCTTTCTAGAGGTTTTCTTAATATATATGCAAGCCAAGGCATGTACATATATATAAAGCCTCATATAACTTTATACTGTTCTCCCTCTTTTTAAATACAAGCGCACTGAAAGCATGTCTTTAAATACATGACTGCACTGTTAGGAAAACAAGGCTAGCCTCCCAGACAGAAAGGAGAAAACTCTACGTCAGTGAGTGCTGCACACGCTACATGCCCTGGGCTACCTGTTGGTCCCTGAGGACCTAGGGATGGTGACAACCTGAGACCAGATTCACAGGAAATCTGTGAAACGCAAAGTAGAAAAACCCTGGCCCACAGAGGGAAGATGGGGAAGCGGTCTATTTCGGACTCAGTCTTGAGCGAAGAGGAACAGAAGGGAAACGTCCCTCTGGAACACCTAACCACGTGGCTCTGGAACCCAGGATGCAAACTTCCTGTGTTGCTTGAACTAAACAATGAGAGACCATCATCTGTGACGATGAATATATGAAAGAGACCAAACGGTGTCTAGAAGTAAAAATTAGGATCACTGACATCGGAAACTCAGCAGGAAAGACAGAAGACTGCCTATTTAAAGGAGAACTGGAGAATAGGAATCTAGACTTGAAGAAATTAGCCAGAGTGCAGTCCAGAGAGAATGAGCTACGAAGACACTGAAATCATGGGAGAGTGAGAATTTTTATCTCTTGGTCCCACTGATGATCACTAGCTGCTATTAAGCTGTATCAAAAGCCAAAACCGGTTTGGCTCAGTGGATAGAGCCTCGGCCTGCGGACTGAAGGGTCCCGGGTTCGATTCCGGTCAAGGGCATGTACCTGGGTTGCGGGCATATCCCCAGTGGGAGATGTGCAGGAGGCGGCTGATCGATGTTTCTAACTCTCTATCTCTCTCCCTTCCTCTCTGTAAAAAATCAATAAAATATTAAAAAAAAAAAAAAAAAAAGCTGTATCAAAACATGCACCCGCGGCGATGACCAGCTACAGAGAAACCTCGCCCACCGACACACTGCACTCAGCAAGGTTTTAGATGAAAAACAAGGATAATCTCAACAGTGCTCAACAGCCCAGTGCTGATCCTATTGCTCATCCCTTCCCCTTCTTCACTAAGACATTTTACTTTACGTGCTAATACAGACATGCCTCCTGACCCTTGAAGAGCTTCTCCTATCAAGCATGCAGAATTTTCTCAAAGACTCATTCTGACTCGCCAACAACAATGAAGCCCTCAGGTATGTGGTGAAGAGAACTGATGACAGTACCATTTACCTGGTAGCTCGAAAGTGGCCTGGGTGGTACCGTTCTCCAAATGGGCCAGTTTGATGAGTGGCTCTGCTAGGGCCAGACGAGGCTGACTGCTTTTCAAACCAGTTTTTATTTAAGTATCTCAGGTCACGGTTCTGCAAGACCTGAACAGTGTGAACCTGAGCTTACTGCACCCACACATTGCACAGGACTGTTCATGGATGTCCATTTCTACCCTTATATTCTCCAGGTCCAGCAAAACAATGATACGTCGTATGTTCTCAATTTTAAAAACAATGTAGAGTAAATGAAGAGTAACTAAATAAATAGATATTTAGCACTCAGAAGGTATGGTTAGTCTAGAGATAAAAATACTGGAACCATCTACTTTTGGTAAATACACATAAGCTCTCCCAAGTACAACATGCCCTTAGCAGGTGGCCACAAATCAGTATCACTAATATCATAGAACAGTAATGCATGAAGGAGACTAAGACTGAGTGAGTGACCAGAGAAGTGGGAAATTTGGAAGGGTTCAAGAAAGAACAATATCGAATGTCAAGACAAGAACTGAAATGTCGCCCTGGCTGGGTGGCTCAGTTAGCTGGAGCATTGTCCCGTATACCAGAAGGTTCCAGGTTCAATTCCAGGTCAGGGCGTATCTAGGTGGCAGGTTCGATCCCCAGTCCAGGAGCATACAGGAGGCAACCGACTGATGTTTTTCACATCGATGTTTCTCTCTTTTCCTCCTTCACTCGCTCTCAAAGCAATAAACATATCCTTGATGAGGATTAAAAAAAATGAACCAAAATGTCTACTGGACTGTATGCGTGGTGACCTCAGAGCACTTTGCGCAGGAGTAGATAGGTAAATACATGTTAAGAAGAACATGAATGGGAGGTGAGATGTGATAACAGTGAATAAACACTAGTTTCTCTTGAAACCTGACAGCAAATACAAGGGCCAAAGACTAACTAGATGGAGAAGGGGTTTCCAGTTCAATTTTTCATTATTTTTAACTTTTAATACTTGAGTATATATGGTAAGGGGAAAGAGCTAGCCAAAGGGTAAAGAGAGAGAATACAGAATAATGAATGACACATTAGGATCCACAGTGTGAAGTAGGAGTGACGGTAATCCGACCAGCATGAGGGTAGGTGTAGAAGAGGTTCTCCCAGCCAGGGGTGACAGAGCTAAGTATAGACAGGAAGTACTGCCAGGCACCTCTGTGGGCTTTGCTGAGATCCGAGCCCATGAATGTGCAGTAGTACTAATCCAGGGCTGTGCGATCACCCTCTGCGAGACTGTGAACGTCAAGAAGCTATAAATTGTGAGGTGGGTTCAAGATCAGAGGGCAGGTGACCTGAGGTGGGGCAGGACAATGAAGTGATGAATTGTGTGTTCTGGGCCAGGTGGAGAATTAAATGAAGCCACAGGGCGGAGGCTACCACACCGTGAATAAACAGCCTAGGGCTGTTGCTCTCAACCTTGACTGCACCAAGGAAATCACTAGGAGAGTCTAGAAAACAAAAAATTCCGATGCCCAGACCAATTAAATCAGAATCTCTAGGGTGGAGACTCAGGCAGCAGTGACCTCTCAGTGACCCAGGAAGACTCGATTCCTGAAGGACTGGAGAGGACTGAGAAAGATTAGCAGTCATGGGATGGATGGAAAATCAGAAGCCCGTGAAGAAACAAGACCAGAGGTATGAGAACGTGGAAGAGCAGAGAAGAGAATGAGTAGGGGCTCTCTCCATAGTGATCTAAACGTTGCCAATAATCAGAAACTTAAGATTCAGAACAACTGTAGAAATTCCTATACGCATGCCCCTATGGATCACTTCCGGGTTATTCTTAGGGTACCACACCACAGGCTGTATATTCCACACTGGCGTAAGTGCCCCGCCCGGAGGCAGACTGTCTGGACTTCTGTACCAGCGTCACAGCTGTGCTGTC